TTTGAAAAGAAAAATTACTTACATTTCTCTCGAGCTGGTACCTTCGCAATAACTGAACTATCAGCAACGCCGTTCTTGGATCCTATAATCAAAATATTCCATATTTGGCCTCTAGCTACGTCTCACGAGAATGTACCTGCTTAATGAGCCGTACAATATCCTGCACAGCCTGTTCAACATGCAACTCTTCCTGCAACCTTGCTTCTGTGGTGGTTAAACGATTATGTTCCATAGAATGCCTCTGAACATAGTTATCTTTATTAGTATATGAAGAGAATATTACTTCCCGTTGTTGACAAACATTTACTGCATGGTTACGTTACACTAAGGGAAGATATGCCAAAGCTCGATTGACAAATAGTTGTGTAAGTGTTGTTTATCGTTTACCTGCAAAGCGGCTTGTTGTTTCTTGTGCTGCAAGAAGTGCTGAATGTGTTGCTTGTTGATATGACCAACATCCAGTTCTCGCAACCATTGTTCTCGTTCGCGATTTGTTGCATTTTCCCGTTGTTGTTCGCGAATACGTTGCTAAACAATAATGTGTCAAGAAAGTAATGCTGAGAGATGTGACAGAGAGGCATAGCTACCTGAGCTTTTTTTGCAGTCAGAATAAGTTGTTGCTCCTGCTTCAGATGTGCCTGGCTTTTTGCCAACTCTTCTAGCAATGTTTCAATCTTCTTCTGTTGTGCTCGCAACATCTCTTCGTGCATAGACAACGCAGCCGGGGTCAAACTGAAAGAGGAATTGACGTCAATCAGAATGCGTGTATAGCAGCGAAGAACGCAGTTATGGTGCTCACATCGAAGAAGGATCATCGAAAGTTATCGGATTGTCGATTGTGCCATCACCGGTTTCAGAGATCGTCTCAGATTGTCCACTATTTGGCATATGAGGTGAATCTCCGGCTAGATCTGCTGTACGTGGACTATCTTGAAGGCTGAAAAATGCTTTTTAACTCTAGACTTCAACACAGCTCGATGACAATACTTACCAAGGGTTCATGCTTTCACTTGTGTATCCACCCTGTATGACTGCAGTTTGTTGAGAATTCTGAAAAAAAAAAGAGAGTGGAATGTTCCAAACACGCAAAGCTAATGAAATCTCCTGGAATGGAAAAAAAATGCAAGTTATTGCTAATATGAACTAGGAAGGGAAGCAAAATAAGCAGTGGGTTACTCAGGCGCAGATGAAGGTGTCTACAAATTTCACGTACCACTAAGACTATATAGACTTATTTTTTGTATTGTTCGGCTTTGGCAAAAAGAAAAGGAAGGGCCTACATAGCTTTGTCGATCTTGACCAGTATTAAGCTACTTTTACTCGTTTTTCTGGTTCCTCGCCTGTTAATACGTACATTATAAGGACGGAGGTAGTATGAACAAAGAGCATTTCTATTGAATTATGTGAGCCTGATATTGGGGAACTCGGGGAAAAAAACCAAAAATGGTTCAAACAAAAGACACACCTGGAACAAAAAGAGTTTGCAACATTATGTCAAATAGCAACTAATGTCAGTACATCTATATACACTTATTCTATTTTAGGGTAGACATGTCACTAAATGTGAAACGTGAAAGAATATGTTCCTACATTTCCTGTACTAGACTGAATCGGTTGATGAAAAGCATGACTACGTAAAAAATCTTCTCACTTGTTGGGCATTAGTTTGAGAAGGTGAAGTTTGATAATTAGTTGTTGAAGGTTGAAATGCAACAATCAGCGGCTGCTGTGAAGTCGTGGTGGTTGTCATTGTTGCCATTTGTGCAGGTGTTTGGCCTAGAAAGAGACAAAGATCTCTTTTTTCTGCTTCAAGAGGGGTTTCTTCCACAAAAAAAAACTTACTCAGCCCAATAATGCTCGTTATGCTGTGCTTTGGCGAGGCAATTATAGTATGTGGTGTGCCTAGAATCATCAAGAAAAAGATATAAACATAGGGAAAAATCTTGGTAGAAAAGTTTAAAGCACAAAGCTCATTTATCACCTTACCTGCCGCTTTCATGACCACCGGTGTTTGTTTACTCGGACTCCTCTCTGTAGGTGGCGCTACTGTGAACTGTAAGAAAAAGTTCTTAAATTGTTCTAACAATAAATCAAGGTTTGAAAATATATTAGGAGTTACATGAACTGCTTGGGCCAAAACCCCACCTAGAGTTTTCCAACTGTGACAGATATACAACTATGAGCACACTCAAAGTTCACTTTTATTGGAAAAATAACTTTGTATGGCTTTAAAGTTAGCAAAAATACATCTTGGAGATCTTAGGGGATACGGGAAGTCTTTCTCACCTGCCCGCCAGATCCCATCTGAGCAAACCGGAATGTGTTGTCGTTCTGTTTTTGAACAACCTGTGTAGCCTGCACAACCCGTGGTTGACCCGTAAGTGGTGGCACATTGGCGATAACCGCTTGCTGAGGTTGAGCAGCTACCGCACCCGGTGCTAGCGGGATAACATGAGCAATCCGTTGCTGAGTGGCCGGTGATGATGAACCCGGTTGGATAGAGGCTATCGGTTGAGCCGTGGTCGTCTGTGGGCTTCCTCTCTGGTGACTAAAATAAGGAAAACTTACGCAACTTCTTGCATGAAAATGATAGAAAAATATCGGAGGCAGCAACGAAAGCAGTCCCTTGTTTACAAATTTGAACTTCTTGAATTTTACTTCAAGAAAAACTTTAAAAGGGGTTATTTTAGAAAAGTAAGCTTTTGACAATCTAAACAGCCTTTCTCTTCGTATTGTGCATAGCTTGTTACAGTGTTCAATAAGAATCTCTTTAAAAATCTGAAGAGAAAATTTGCATTGAACAATGGCTAGCGATCGGTCACGGATGCAAGATGTTTTGCAACGGAATGAATTATTTATATCCCTAATGGAAAAAAACCTACTAGGAGAGCACAACCGGATGTCCGGAACCAGGAATGTACTGAACAGAAGCTACCCCGACAGGTGTTCCTTTGGCGTCAGTGAGCTGAAAAAGCACATTTCTCAAATATCTAAGTCGGTATTTTAGCGCTAAGGTCTTGCACAACTGCCGCGAGCTTAGGATCCGGCTGTTGCCTTTTCAATTATGTGTAGAGTTGCGTTTTAAACGAGGCTGTCGGTGGCCGTCTTGGACATTTACATCACCGACGCAGTTCGACCAATGATCTGACATGCGCTGAGGGTGGCTTGAATGTGAGCGGCGATAAATTGAGAATGAGTACGCTGACAAGCGTTGATTAGATCAATTCTCACCTCGGCTTAGTTCAGCGCTCTGCTCATCCCCACTCATGCAAGCATATGTACACATTTTATACACCAACATATGCTGTATAGATGGGGAAACGGAAAGCTCGTCACAAGCGCTCACCAACTCTTCATTCATATAAATCGATAAGCGAGTGAGAAAGCTATAGCTTCAAATGGAGAAGCTTCTAACAAAAATTAATGAGCAACTAGCAATAAGTTCTGTGCAATATTCGAGAAAATTTAGCTAACATCACACGCTTCGACTGAGAGTAGACGCAATCATAATTCTTTTTATTGAAACTTTTAAGAATTATTCAGTATTTATTCGGGGATCCGCCGTTAGTAAAGTAGTAGGGAGATCCATGAATAGACAGTACAAAAACATAATGAAATGAGGAAAAGTTACAGAGTTAAATGGCACTAGCTTCACCGCTACACTCCTTTACTGTAGTAGCCCAAACCCAGTCAGATGCTTTTAGGCAGATGAAGTTAAAATCACTCATATCCATAAAGGGATTAAATCTCCCAACTTCATTTAATCTTTGCATTGTTAAAGACTCAAAAGTTTGTTTGAATCCTGGAATTATTTCAAAAAAAG